AAACTTCAGAAGTCTTCTGAAGAGCTTTGTGACCCCTGATTAGAACTTTGTACAGAGAGTGACTGGCAATTAACTGAAATACCCAGACATACTGAAATAGGACCCTTCCCCCCCCAACCCCCCCAATTACATAAAATCTATAATTATATTTGTTACATAAACATTTTAACTGGGGAAAACATTAGATAATTGAAGGCACACCCTCCCCCAATCCCTGTTAACCACCACTCACAGCACAGCAAGAGTAAAATTAACTCAGCAAATAGTGTTCATACAGTAAAGCTGCTTCTCTGGATGGATGGCACTGTGCTGCCACTCTTTCATTCCATCTTCGAAAGAAAGATGTTAAAGGAGACAATTTGAGACTATCTGGAAGTTCACCTTTTGTTATGCAGTAGCATGCCTTATTTTTTTTCAATCTGTTTAACCAGTATCAAGAGTCTATCCCATAAGAAATTACAGATAAAGAGCAAAAAGATTACTTTACATACTGAATAATTGTTTTCTGCTTAACCAGTAATGACAAGGATACCTAGACTCCACCTTTGCTGACAGAAAAACGTAGAGATTCGGAGTTGCAAAAGGGCCATACAGCTGATTAGCTGCTATTCAACTTACAACAGGATGAGGAGAAACTTTTATTTTTTCTCTCCTTAAAACCATTCTTCTCTCTGGAAAGATGTCACTTGCAGAAGGATACCAATAGTCACTACTTTTTCACTATATGAAAGCAAAACAGAAGTGCAAGTTTTTGACTGCTTTACATTCACCTGAAAAAAGAAATACAATTACTATGGTATATAGCTAGCCTGACCCACCATTACATTGATTTGTTCTGAGGAAAGATGGAAACTGGACTGACAGGGAAGAGCCAGCCCTGTTGCTATACTGCCTGTACAGCTTCACTGGTGTATCTCAGCTAAGCCTGACGAGGATGTCATCCTGCCACTAGTCTCGGTCAATGCCAAGCCCTTCTGCTAAATATGCTGTCAAGGGTGCCAATTACGATCAGCTACTGAATTCCTAGCTGCTGGAAATGGGACTGATAGCAAATCACTTTGAGCCCAAACCAGCCTCCACAGAATCAAGGGGGTGTTGTTTGAGACAAGGAAGGGAAATAGGCCAGGGGGGGAGAGCACTAGGGGGCGGGGGGGGAAGATACCTCCATTTTTTTAAGCCACAGCACCATAATTTCTGGATACAGCTGTAACAACAGATCTATTTTGTACCAGTGCCTACAGCTCCCCAACAGTAAAAAGCTCGTTCAGCAGAGTCCAACTCTTGCAGATCACTGGATGCTGCACACATTTCAATGAGTCCAAGTGCTGTATTGCTATCAGGTGAAAGGCAACAATGGAAGGTCAGACTGCATCAGAATTCAAGGATATAAACTCCCACAGAGTACAATAAATGGCGTAACAGTCCCGTGAGTGCCTAGGGGGTGTTTTTCTCTATGCAGAGAGACACAATAGTGGTCTGGGACCTAATTTTTATAACAAGCTATTTAAGAGGGAAGCTAATTGAAGTATATAAATCCTGAAGAGTATCATATCAAGTCAAGATACTATTATTAGCCCAACCTAGATGAGGTTACAGAAGTGCATTAAAAGCCTCAATAAAAAAATTAGTAGGAAACATTCCCCACTTCAAGACCCCATGAGACAAATTCTCTCAAGTAATGATATTATCCAGAATAACAAAAAAAAAAAAAAAAAGTATTAAAAATGGATGTCAAGAAGGAAGGTAGAAAAAGCCCAAGTTCACCCAAATGGGTCACAGCTTGTTCTTAATGTTCACTGTCAGTACATTTTAGAGATAACACATCATAGCCAACTGAGAAAGCAGCAGGTGAAAGTAAAATTAAACTATAATTCTGAAACAAAATTATTTAATGACATGCTACTTATGTAAAAGGTTGATGTAGAGATAACTGACCCTGAAGCATTTTCAGCAGTGTGCTCTGATAAACTCTGGTCTCATTCTTCCATTATCTGTCCTACGCATATTGAATTTTCCCCTCTGCCAGCTTTTACTGATCCTACCAAAGACAGCAATAGCATTTATGGGCATTTCCAGCCTTGTGATATGATCAGACTGAAGAGTGAAAGGGCACACTTCGGTTTCTGTTCCGGTCATCACAACCCATGAGGAGTACGCGGATGTGGACAGAAAGCCACAGCTAAGAAACTAAAAAGCAACAAGGTAAAAAAAACCCCAAACCAAACCAACAAAAACCCCTTGGGTTAACTTCTCTAAAAACAGACTTAGGGCTAGCTGAACATACTCCTTGACAAGGAACAGAGTTTTGCATTTCTTTGAGAGATAATCCTTTGTGCCACACTGCCACTTGGAATGAGACTTCCACCATTCCCTGCTCGCACACTGAGAGCAAGTACTTTCTTACACTGCTCAAAGTGTGGTACCATTTACTTCCAGCTCAAGCAAGATGAATATATCTATCTGTATTTTACTAAAATGGAAGAAATGCAGGTAGATGACGTCAAGACAAATCTAGGAGACAGTCATATCTATTAAAATATGAAGCACCAGGGAGGCAGCATTCCTCCATTAGGGCAGTGTCTGAATAGAAGGGGTACATTACAGGTGCACTGTGTACCTACACTGTGGAGACTCTGTAAAAGCAATTTAACATTTCACTATCTTTTTGGCCATATTTTGTCTCTTTTTTTTGTAGTAAGACTAGAAATTCACATGAAAGCATTCTTCCAACTTCCCATTTGCACATGAAGTGGTGGTGAAACAGGATGGAAAAAAACAACAGCTATGCTTCATGTCTAGTTTGTAGTCTATCATAATCTCCTTTGCTTGAAGTAATGGCTTGCCTCCCTCTGGTTTTCAGGTTGCTCTTCAGAGTACAGTATAAACTCTGTTATTCCATAAGCACTCTCTGAAAAGCAGGTAATGGGTAGTTACGCTAATACAGCAACCTTCATGCAGCCTCATGCATGAACTAACCAGACTAATCCAAAAATAAAGTGCTGTCTTTTCTAACTTTGTCTTTTGCATAGGTCTTGAAGAACTAAGGGAGACATACAGAAATACCATCGGTATTTTTCCTTCACCCCTTTCCTGTGAGTGAATAATTTAAATCCTTTACCTCTGGCTGTAAGTTTTATCAGCATACCTTCATCTATTTTAACAGCGCATCACAGGCAGTGCTATTCTGCAGAACTTCTTCACAGCGAAAGCTCATGTGTAAAGTCAAGGGAAAGGGCAGTTTTCATTTTCAGTATAAAGCTGCCATTTACCCAATTCAACTATACCTCATGTGAAGTATGACATTATTGGACTAAGGTCACAAGAAGTATTTCTTCTCTTAAGGGCAGATTATTTTTTACATTAAGCAGTTATAAATATATTTGAGAAAGAAAAAAGGTTCTATTGAAGATTATCTTTTTCTGTTTGTAACTCAGAGTGAATTCCTTAATCTTGGCTGGACTTTTAATTCACTGGAAAGCATATATATGTGTGTGTGTATATATATATATCTACACACACACACACACACACACACACACACACACATATATAAAATCTAATCCAGCCCTTACATGGAACTTGGCCAGACAACATCCTTAGAAATAAAAAACCCCACACATAAACAAAATGTTCAATCCCAACTAACTCTTTAAAAACACAAGTCATGTTTGTCCCCTTAAGACTGTCTCATTAAGAATGTGATTGCAATCACTTGCCATTTTCATTTATGCTTCATAAATAATAAAGTGAAATTATCAGCTTAGGAACAGCAATCTCACCTTTGCAGAAGACATAACCTAGATATTTTTAATGTGACAAAAAAACACCCAAACCAAAAAAAACCCACAAATTTGATTTCCATGTCACTACGTCACCAAGAAGATAAGCAAGCTGACTTACAGGAAAAGGTAGAGGGTGATGTCCAACATTCATTAAACTGAAAAGGCCAGTGATTCAGAAGGTTCAGGCACTGATATTTTTAAGACTGATAAAAATAATTTTAAGTAAGTTGAATGCCAGACTTGATTTACTTCAAATGAGTACTAACAATTTTGGTATGGTCCACTAGAGCACAGTAGTTACACAGAACATTTATTTATAGTTATTCCCACTAACATAGTGTTATCACAAAAAAGCTTTGGTTTATATTCATAGTGTAAAGATGAAAAACAGAGCAGTCGAAAAACATGCCAAGCTAGACTTTGTTATTCTTACAAAAGGTTACTCTACTAATACTCTTGCTTGCAGTGTACATAATCTTGTTCTCAGGAAGCCACTAAAGGCACAGCAGCAAAAGCAGCTGGACACACGTGTACCTTCTCAGGTCCAGTACACTGTACAATAGCAAGTTTCAACACTGATTAACAACATTATTGAAATGCAGTGAAACTTAAGCGTGCTTAAGTTTCTAGTTTAAGTTAACTAGTCAAAAACCATCTTCAAACTGAAAAAACGTTGCCTAAGTGTTATTTCACTTGCCTACAGATACACAAGTTGACACTAAAACACATTTGGCAAGTTATATTGACTATTATAAAACTAAAATCCAACGCTAATTTCAATCTAGTACTGCTTTTAAATCTGAAGCCAAAGTGAACAACCCTCCCCAACAACCCTAACCGAACAAAATCCCTGAAACCTGTCAGTATCAGAACCCAAATGCCAGTCACTGGCATGCAGTATGGACATCTTCAGATTTCAAGTTTCTTTAGGTTTTCCTGATCTATGCAGTGTGCCATGTGTTATCTTCTTCAGCAAATATAAGGAAGCAAAATACTCTGAACTCAGGGAAACAAGTTTGGAGATGAAGCAAATTTATTGTTCCAAGTGTTGAAATCAGGGAGTATTTTAAAGCAACAGCCACACACTTCACAAAAATCCAGCTAATATGAATGAATAAATCCAGGTAACCCTTAAAAAAGTTTCAAAGCTATGGCAACATGGTGTGTGTATGTGTATCTCTCTTTCTCTCTCTCTCTCCCCCTCTCTCTCTCTCTCTCCATCATAGAGCCTTGTAGGTAACCCATGGTTTAGAAAATCAAAGATGCCCTCTGCATAAAGGACAGGCAGAGAACAGCATCACTGAGGTACTAGTCCCATTTCTTTCAGGCAAATTACTGCATAGATATCTAAGGTTAAGGAGTTCTGACATTTTTCTGGACAGCTTTTACAGTATCATAGGACAACATAATGAAAATACATTGTATTTGAAACCAAAGAGCAGCATATTAGACATGCACTGGTAGGAAACATCCCATGTGCAATCTGAGATATTAGAAGTACCATACACAACTTGGATGTTCATCTAAAAGCATACTAATTTAACTTGACTTGATTTTTTGTGGAAAAAAGTCTACATGGTCTTATTCATAAAAATGTAATTCTCAACATTCGGCTGTGGTGGATATAACGTGAACATACAGAGTCTTTGTGTTCAGGCTCTTCATGGAGATGTCCTTTGTGATCTCTGAACCAAGAAAACAAGAGAAACAACATAGTTAGTGCTCTTGCTTACAGGTAACACTATGAACACTTTTTTCTTTATTCAGACAGTTCTGCTGGTTCAATCAAAATGCGACTAGGACAGAAACTGCTCAGCTCAAAACTCCCTCCTGTTAAAGCATGGTGCATTAAAGGAAGGGTTACCATGTCAGTATTGCCGCTGCAAGAGCTGGGGATACTGTTCAAGATTATGAAGTAGGACTTTTTGAAAGCCTATGTCAGCCCACAGCTCCCAGCTTCACATCCACACAGAATAATAGCTAGTTCAGAGAATTATTTTACAACACAATGATATGAAGTCAATATTAACAATACACCACAATGCACTGAAAACCAGAGACCCTTATAAACATTGGGTAAGACTGGCCATACAGAGATCCATCTCCTCTAGTATCCCATCTTTGACAGCATGTAAAACAACATATGTGCGAAGGAGTACATGAATAAGAACGTGCATACATTAACTTGAGTTTTATATGTAAAGCAAGGATTGTTGTAGTAGCTAATGCTAAAATCTTGTCAGGTATGCCTAAAGAATTTCACACCATACCAGACCAGTTCCTGAAGTCTTTTCATACCTATATCCACAGAGTTTGGAACAGTAATAGGGTAATGTCTCACCAACAAACCTCTTTTGAGGATATAGTGTATTTCCAACAGGGTGATTCAGGGTTTGTAACTGAAACTGAAACACAGTAATTGCACTTTGTGGCTACAGAAAAAGTCACCTGCAAAGTTAGCAGGAACTGGAAATCTCTTTCACTATTCTTGCCACCTTACAGAGCATTTCTCGTAAGAAGTTTGCTAGCCCAATGCTTCCCAGCACCTATCAGCTGTAGCAAACTACCCCAATAACAGAGCAGTTTGTTTTGAATATTGGGAGGTACAGCGTTTGAACCAGAGTAATCTGAATAACAAACACACCAGAGGTCTCTCTACTAAGAAACTTCAAAGTGGTAACCACAAATACATACACTGAAACCAAAGCAAAAGAATATCAGGGTTACGATTTTACTCTCCACACTGGACTCCCTACAGACAACACAAGTAAATAAAAGATAATTTTAAATTTTGGCACTAGTGTTAGCACAAATGACAGATTAATAACATTCAGAACGGCTGGGTGTTTTTTCAGTAGAAACAATTTTGTAGTGCACTGCAGTGTATCACAGAACTGATGCCCGATATTCACGCTGCTCTAACTTGGGCTCACCTCCAGCTGAGAGACCAAGGCAGAGTGTGTGCGGTGGGGGGAGGCAAGTGCATCCATGGAGACAATGTAAAAGCAGTTTAGTTTTCAGTAATATGATGTCCAAGTGAAAACTGATCCTAGAAATGGCAGCAAGGAGTTTTGTTTCGATGTGACAGTATGCACGCTCCTTCTAACATTAGGACCCTCATCTTTGAAAAATATCTCATTTTTAGACTGAGCAGATACAGTCTGCATCGAAGTTTAAAAGCCATCTATCAATTGAAGAATTAAGCAGCCCTTATGGGTCACGATGGTACTGTTTTTAAGGAGTTCTCTTCTAGTGTAATACTCTGCTTAAAGCAGCTGAATGCTCATCTACAGAGCTAAGAGTGGAGGTATAATCTAATTCAGCAATTAGGGCTTTATTCCTTCATTAACCTTCCTTCTGTCCCCATGAAATGTTACATCAGTATGTAAAAAAGTTATTCTAGTCTGCAGAGGCAGCCAAACAAATGGTGAAGTTGGTCTCAGTGTCTTTTTTTAATAATTTATTTTTAAAATCCTGAAAAATGAGGAACTACACAAAGCTCCTATTTTCAACAGTATTTAACACAATAATTACTTTTAGAAATTGGAAATTTGATTTACCAAGAAAATGTAAGGAAATCCTCTTTTCTGTGCCAATTCCTCCAAAGGAAGGCTTTGAAGTTGTTAGCACATTAGAAAGTACTGCCTTCATCCTGAATGTGTCTCTGAACCAGCCACCTGTAACTTGTGTTTCAATCGCATGAATAAGCAATGCTCACCACTTTGACATTTATTTATAGAACGTTTTTCCAATATTACAAAGGGGGGTGAAGACCACATTTGTTTCTGAAAAGTTGGCAAACTTGTGTGCAATAGACAGCAGATGCCCAACTGCCTCTGCCTGATGACATTTATAATAATGTTTTCAAAACAGATAACTCCTTTTCCATCAAGTGATTTTTTTTTTCTTTTTATAAAATGGGCATCAACCTTCTAATTCACAGGTTAATTTCATCCAATGTTTCAAACGGTTAACAGCAAATAATTTTTATTTTTAGAATAAACCATAAAAACAGTACTCAAGAGACTCAACTTTTTTTGGTTTGAAGATAGGACCTTGAAATATATTGATAAAAACATGAATAGGGGATTCAAATTCCAACAATACACATAAACATTAATTGACCTAATCTTTTCCAAAGGCGCCGATCTACTTTTCATATGCAGCACTTATCATATAAGGAGATCTGAAGATAAAGTACAACCATTTCAGTGTTTATATGATAAAAAAGTGTTAAGAGAGCTGCACAGCAAGAATAAAATTTGAGATAGCAAATTTGAGAAGCATAGCTATATGGCATAAAAATCTGTTAGCTACACAAATCTCCAGGACCAAGCTCTCTACATTGAGTCTAAAAAAGACAAAATCAGTTCTTTTAGCCTTTGAAGAGTTATCACATCAGATCTTTCACATCATGTCACTTTATACACTTTATTTAATATTTAAATAGTTCTGGAGAATTTATACTACAAATATGTTGCAGTGATTCAACTGATTACCCTTTTAGGTAAAGGCATTTTAAAAATCCTTACTTAAACTGAGACTTGAAGGCTACACATTTTCCTGTTTTGTCAGTTACTTCTTTCAAAGCTCAGAAGTTTTCTACAATAGTTATTTTAGTATCTTAACTAAATCATACGCTGCTGTGATCCCCTTCTGCCCTGTAACAAAGGACAGAAACCAAAAAGAAGCATGTTTAACATCAATTGCTCCTGAATGGCCAAATTCCTAGTCGGCAAGGTTTCGCCCATAAATACATTTTTTGTTTATGAAGTGTGGTTGATATCCTTGGTTCTTATGCCTTGTGCTGTTTCTAAACACTCCAGCCTCTAGTTCTCTCCACGCAGCATGCAGCACATTAAGTTTGTTAACATCATGCAGCACATTATTTTTAGCATTAGCTCAAAGCACCACTAGAAAGTCTCATCAACATTGGAGATGCATTTTACTTACAAAAAAGGATTCTGAATTAAACAGAGCACAGGTCACAAAAACAAAACAAAAACCCCAAACCAACCAAAAATCCACAACAAAAAGCCCCACACTTTACTTGATCTGATTCTAATCTATCCTACTTGAATCCCTTCAACTCAGGTGGGAAGCTATGTGGCCCCAGTTTTTGCCAGCTACACTAGAGCGCTACACTTCTCCCCTCCTCAGCTGACAGGCACCTCCTGAGGAAATTCATCCCATCCTAGGATTAGACAACTAGTGTCGTGGTAGGGACCAACACCGACAAAAATATATGTAAAAAAGGCAGCCTTTATTAAGTTACAAAAGGCCAAGATGGCCAAGATGGCGCAGCAGAAAAAACATACCCTTTTATAACCTTTCTTATCTGTCCACCGGTTCATGCACTAAGGCTGCTAAAATGATTCGCTCAATACCTCTGTCCATTCACCTCTATTCACATACTGATTGGCTGGAGCTCCTACTGTATTTCCCACTTAATTCTCTTGCCAAATTTCTGCTCTGCGGTATTCACTTGTTTAGTCTCTCCTTGCTCAGTCTCTTATCACCTTCTCAAGACTGTTTACAACATTCTTCATCCACTTCTTTCATCTTCTCATGGGTATACTGGGATGCTGTCAAGGCCAATTTCATTTTCCTCAGTCAAGCTATCCCCAACAAACTAGTTTAAACAAGATGTCTAACTTCTGGACAGGTAACCTAACGTGGTAAGTCAAGGTTAAGTGTCATGTATCCCTCCCAAACAGCTTGTAAATTTCACCACTATGATAAACTGGAGACAGAATCCTTTCCATCATTTCATTTGAAGAGCTGAATTTTCCTGACTGCGCAGAAATACTGGGGTTATTTTTCCATGTGGTTTCCAATCCATTCTTCCTGTCAAATAAAGTCCCAAATCTTTTTCAGGCCCAATTTTTTAGCACTACAGGTGGCTACGTGTTTAGTCTTATCTCTCTCATGAATCAGAGATTTTTGTTTCTAAGCCTCACCATCTGCCTGTGGTTTTGGAAGATTCTTTAATATTTCAGATATGTGACTATGTAATAAAGAGCTTCTTACTTCCCAGGTCTTCTGAATGAATTGCAGCTGCCATACCCTACCAAGTCTGACTTACTCACACAACTCTAAAGTAGATCCACTACTCTTTTACACCCACTCCCATTCTCCAAAAGGAAGGGAAAAAGTAATATCTGCAACAATATGAATGTTACAGGAACAATTTGAACAGGTTAAAATATTCACACTTCAGGCTCACTCACTTATAGGAGGAGATTCACTCTTTCTGCTTAGTCACAGCAGCATGTAACCACCATTTACATGGCTGACTGACCCTTCTGTTTCAAATGGAAGAAACCTTTCTAGCACTTGTCCTCGCCAGTTCACGAACGGAATGCATAAGAGCTTTGAATTTCTAAATGTGTATGTGTGCTTAAAGGATTTTATTAAAGAATTATTGAATTACTGGACAAAATTAGAAACCAGTGTGTAAATAGTGTGCATTTAGTAATTAAACTAGATCTCAGGCTACATAAGCTGCTCCTCAACAAAAACTTCCATGTATCTTTGGACAAGCAAAATTTATGCTTACCCTGAGTTTGCGCTTCATCCAAGAACAATTTTAGCCTCCTGCTTCTGAGCCCAAAAACTTTTGCCGTTTCATGCAGAAGACCTTGGTATGTTAATCCATTCTGACCAACAGGGTTTTCCATTAGAAGAGTTCCCACTGTTCCCTTCTGACATTCTGAACAAGACAAACAGTTGAATTGTTATTGGTGAGGAATTATATTGTTTCACTTATCTTGGTAAGCTGAAATTTAGAATTTCTTCTTCCATTCCATCTCTATTTCTTCACAGTGTGGAGTAATTACCAATACCAACCTACTTACAGATATTGACTAAATAAGTTCATGAATTACAGCATCAGAAGCATAAGTAATTATTAACAGCTTGACAAACAAAAGAAAACTGCAGAATGCTTTACATGGGCCAACAGGATAACCTACAGACTAGGAAACCTGAAATATTTCAGCTGGACACACAAACCACTAAGAACTACAGAAGCTCACAAAGGTCCTTCTGATGATCAAATCCCCAGCTAAAACCACGTTTTTGGCCCAGGTAGGTTCCCAGTAGTGTCAGTAAGATTCTACATGGACAGTCCAGAAAGGATTCATACCAGGGCAGAGATTAAGAGCAAATTACTAATACCACAGCTGTTCCAACATGAGGTTTCAGAGTAGAAGCCCCAAGATTAGCAGCCGTGAAACAGCATCACATACATGTATCTATACTCCAGATCAGGTTAATAATACAATTCATTTGGCTTTTAAGCAGCACTAGGAAATGTTTCATAGGCTCTTTACAATGTCTTGGTAAAGAACTAGCTCCTCCTTCATTTTTGGGCAGTTTTAGACTCAGACTTTTAAACTAAGCTGCACACGTGAGCTGAAAGTCAGAAATAGGAAATCAATGCTGAAGGGCTCATGTTTAAATGCTGTCCCTTATCTCAAACTGTCTCTCATTTTTCTTTTATGAAAAGAGGGAGAAAAGCTAAATATAAACATTGCGATTATTAAAAAGCAAATACTAGAAATAAAATAAACAAAATCACCATCTACCAATGAAAACACAGGTACTTATCTTCATCAGTAAAGTATGGTATCCAGAACTCCTGTCACAAAAAGCTCAGCCTGTAAAGAGGAGAGATCAGCATCCTACATACCTTGTGGTTTTGCATTCATTAACTGCAAGTTGATATACTGGCAGAGCAGAGCATCAGGAGAGTTGATCAGAGCAGGTGCCGACCCTGTTGTCACATGTAGAGTCTTTCCGCTGAGACTAAGCAAGTCAGTTCTGTTTATCAGTTCTGAAAAAGAAAACAAGACCAGTCAGGCCATTACAGAGAAACCGAGGTCCAGTTCTCACTCATGTAGCTGACAATGACTCTAATTACTGATTCCACTGTGGAAGCACTTCGCCCTTTGCAATTCCTTCCTCAAGAACGAGCATTTCTCCATTTTGAAAAATGGAATTTGTGCAGAAATATTTCGTTTTCTTAGCAGAGTACTTCAGCTGCTGTAGGCATCAGCTCCTATGCAACATTTCTTAGGCACATACAACACATAACGATTACTTGTGCAATAAAAACAGTTAAATAACTTAAAACAAGCGAGAAGTTATTCACTTAAGCCAACCATTTCTATCTCATTAAATTAAGACCTATGATCTTTGCCTGTACCCTGACTTCTCGCGCTGCAGCAGCACTGGATATGTGTTACTGTGTAACATCAGGACACTTCCCTCATTAAACTCCAGATGACAATAAATGTAAAATAAGTGGCTGGTTATTTCATGAATAATGCCCTCTACATTAATATTTGTGTTTAATGTCAACAACAGCTGACGATTCAGCAGATTACTCTGGCCATGCATATTTAGAAAATGGTGGAAAATCAGACCCAAAATAGGACCCATGTCTCAAAGGATTTTTGAAGTAATACCAGCACCCTGGAAGCACTCAGACAAAAAGCTAACGAGGTTTTTGTAAGACAAATGAAATATGTAGGACTGCATTCTGTACTACCTACATGAGCCTGTATCAGAGGGAAAAAACCGCTGCTGATAGCCACAACATTGAAGATACAGAGAGGCAGCATCACTCTCTGCTACAAAGATTTTGCAGCTACAAAAGAATTCCCAAGACCAAATCCAGGAAGAATTAATAAATTTAATTTCTCGTAAGAATTGTGCGTTGCCTGTACATACAGAACAGGCACATCTGTCATCTCTTTCCAACAGGTTTTCATTCTGGATCAGCCCCATTTGCATGTGACAGAGTCTAAGCTTTGCAAAGCTGATTTTCCATCAGTTCATCTGAACGAATTTCAAAGGGACAGAAGCAGCACTCCTTTTTCCAGGGATGTTTATACACTTAAAAATAAAATAATTAGAAAAAAAAACACAACCAAAGCAACCAAAAATCAAAACAAAACCAACCCCCCCAAAAGGTGAAAAGTAATCACAGGCTACAAGCTCTCAAGACTTTGGCAAATGCCGCAGAACATCAAAGCGCGACGGACTGTGGAAGGCTTATGAGACTGCCTTAAGCAAGGGTGAAGTCCTCAGATAGCATCTAAGTTCTAAAGTGCTATCTTTAAAAAAAAAAAAAAAATCAACTTTAGATATATATACATAGACATAGATATAAAAAGCTTTAAAGAAAAAGGCAAAACTTCATTGCTGCTTCTAAAATTCAGTTTTCAAGAATGAAGATTTTACAATGACTGTGGCCATCCCCTGGCTACTCAAACACTTCTTTGGTATGTTTCAGGTGCAATGCACACAGCTCAAGCACAGGAAGGAGCTTTGCTTTTGGGTTTACTTACAGGAAAGCAAGAAAATAACTAAATTAACAATTGAAGAGGAATTAACAGGATTTCATGATATGAAAAGGGAGTCAACAGCAGGTTTTTCCGAGTGTAACCCTAAAGCAGCACTGCTTGCCATTCCTGGGTCACGGATGGGAGACGGCACTAGTGAGCAGGGTGCTTTACAGAGCAAGAAACACACAGCTCATCAAGTAGCTTCAAGTCTCACATTACCCAGTTGCTGGGATCCATGCAGATCTATGCAGAGCAACAGGGCACAAGCTACAGCAACGGTGATTTGCTTATTTAAGAAACCTAGCATTTTGCATTACAGGCCCACTAACATTTTCACAAAGACCTCATGTACAGTGCTGTCAACAGGGACAGCTCATACAACCCTCTAATGAGAGCAAGACAAAAGTGGATCATTTTTTCATATAAAACAGGACACTTGAAAACACACAGGTATTACAAGTGCTCATCAATATTAACATCACTTTTAAAGTCAGTTCTCCCTGCAGCTGAGGTTTAAGTCGTAATGCTCTCCTAAGGTGCCTTACAGACTCATGGCCTTTTAAAAATTAGGGGGTGGGGAATCTTTTTGTACTCTCGTTCAGAAAACAGTGCTAAGAATATAATTTAAAAAAAAATAGCAATCTGTAAATCATAAATATGAAATAAAACATGGAGTAAGAAGTTTGTACGGCGATTTTTGCTTCACCTTCCCTTCCCCCCCGTTAAGCCCTACATTATTTACGACTTCATTATTCCCATAAACTAATTGATTTTTTTTTTTTTAAATAGGTCTTTTTCAATATGGGCTACTTCCATGAAAGCTGAGCAGAAGTCAAAAAGCATTCCCAATAAGAAATTTAGAAAGTTTTCAGCTTTTCAGCAATCTAGAGCAAAAAGAATCACAGGCAACTGTTTTTACCATCTGATTTGAGCCCAGCCACCTTCCTCGAAATGATTAAATTTTTTTTTAATGTAAAACCAGACAAATTCTATTCTCAGTTTCTGAAGGTCAGTACAAACCCCAGAGCCTGACTTACTGTTTGTGCAGTTACTCAAAATACATCAATACACTGTTGGGGAGCAAACATTTATCCCATTATTTCAGCGTTGCACTGAAAAAACAGGGACGTGACGTATTTCAGCCTGCTGGCTTACAAGAACTGCCTGATTTTGTGCCATTACGCAACCCTAAGTAAATCTTCATTACTATTAGAAAACAAGATAATAAATTACTGCAAGTAAAGCAAACAGCCCTAAAAACCACAGGAAGGAAAATAAGGAGCTGGAAATACGGTTTTACTGAGTCACAATTTTATTAACACACATGGGAACAATTCAGCAACAATTTGTCTGGAGTGTGTGACCTTTCTTTGCAGTTCCTCTCAGATAAAGTGGCTGATACCAGTCCCCTGCCTTATGTAAAGAGACCCTGGAATCACCATTAGGCCTCACCTAACCTTACCCATGAGAAGGCTGGGCAGATAAAGCAAAGGGATTGTATCCAAACCAACATCGGGAATTCTGGTTCTATTCTCTAACATCTTTAAGAGCTATTTTCTTTGTACATGCCTTCAACCCGGACTCCTCAGGCAGCCCTATCTTCTGCTGATCAATACTTACCTGAGATCCCTGCCAAGCTGCAACACAAGTGAATTTGATAATCTAATCTTTCCAAGGGAATTTTCATGTTGTTAATAAGTGGTCAGGGGAAAAAAAAAACCAAACCAACAACCTGCTCTGCCCACACCACTTACGAGTGAAAGTTTAAAAATCAGCATGCCAAGATGAGAAAGTCCCAAAATGATACCTACACAGCAAAAGTGACATGGAAAGGAAAGAAAAGCCTTTGTCACTTTAGCAGAAAGGAATCTTTGAGGAAGAGGGAAGGTTTAGATTTTCTTCACCACTTCCTTCAGGAATTCAGCATTAACAGATTTATGCAGCATCCTTTTGTCCTGTTAGCAGCAGAAAACAAACCAAATAAGGATCCAAACTGCTTATAATCTTAACGAGACTAGTGTCCCCACTCTCCTTGGCCTTTATCTGCGATGGTACTGGATTGTACTAGTACAGCACCCACCTCTGTAGGCACATACCACACTGCTAGGAAGTATATCACTACTATTTGGAAAAGAATTTCAAGGAAAACTATTTCCTCCTTTAAAACATAACTGAAACTTGAGGAAGGTACTGAGGGATCCAAAATTTCCTATAAAGCACCTACAACTGAAAGCAAAGAATAATCATTTTGTATGACAGAACTATTCAGTTCAGCTAAGCACAACTTGGAAAGAGGTTTTAATCACAGTAAGGTAGTGGATTACATCAGATATGAAAACCCCCAAAACATTCTTCTGGAAATACTTTCAGGGAAAGACAAGTAAGAAAACTAAAGATAGAGATGGTAACAGTGACAGGACAGACACAAGTAAGACTATTTCCCTACTGACGTCATATGTAGATATGAACTGGTGATCCTTCGCTGTGCTACAGGCACCCAACAACAGCCTTTCACAACAGCCAGTTAAAGTATCTCCCCCTTAGATGTTGCTTCAGCAGTAGGTCTGTTAAAGACACCAGCAAAAGTTTCTGTAGCCATCCAATTACCATTTTTGCAGTATTTATTGTTTCTTTTGTCACTCATTTTAGACCTAAGATGAATGGTGTGGAAAGAGACAAAGTCGGAACTTCAAGATGCGCCTGTAAATAACACTAAGAACATAAAAAGAGTTTACTATTACCGTTGAAACATCTCTGAAGTCATATCACAGCATGGCCGCTGTTAAGATCTCTACCTCCGGTACTTCTTCACTAAAGCATTTGGCGATTAGCATAATCTTGTTCTCAGTGTGCTGATTTTTAAGTTGTAACTTTCTGTGACGTATTGAAATATTATATGGACTATAATAAAAACCCAGCATCTTCATCTCAGGGGAGAGAATGCCAGTTTGCTGGTAGGGTCTCAAAGTCACTAATTGCAACATCTTTCATAACATTTTTCTCTCTCTCTCAGCTATGTAATGAGCCAAACTACTATATAGCCTGTAAGTCTATGTATAATCCATAGAAGATGCTTTTACATTCTTATGCCTTAATGAAGATGAAGTTCAAGCTGCAAAAAAATTGGATAGATTTTTCTAAAAAAGAAATGCAGAGATCCTCAAGTTTCTGTTGGGTGAAAAAGCACCATTTTGTCTTCTACAGATAGCAGTCTGCATTCAAGATAAGTTCTCACCCTGCCTACTGCAGCATTAGGAGAAAGAAAAAAAAAAAAAGCATGCAAAAGCTGATGGCAGGTCGCCATCAATGTATAGCATAGCCTGGACCCGATGGAAATACTTTCTGAAATAAATCAGATTTTATTGTGATGAGAACTGCAATGGAAATAAGATAACAGAAAAGATGAGCATCATTTAGCAACAGCTTTTGAAAATATTTTGATGTGACTATAAACCCAGTCTGATAAGCTAAGTACTATAAAATGGAATATTCCCTGATGCATTTTCTTGTCAATTTTGTGTATATATATATATATATATATATAAAAATTATACACTAAATAATTGTACAGTAACTCACTCCTAGCTGCTGCTAGAGTGTCTTTCAATTTTCCTTGCCATACTCCGTTTACCTGTTTTTCCATTAAAAACTGTCAGTTTTGAATTTTTAAGACCAAAAATGCAGGAGACAGCATCTACAAGTCCAGTGAAGTTCAAGGTATTATCTCCTTTTGGATTTTCCAGCAGCACCACACCATCTAAAACCAAAATTAAGAAATTAAAATGCAGTTTAGAAGCAACATCCAAGTTTCAATGATTTTCTAATGACTTTTTCTAATTACTTACAGTGAGTTTCTAAGCGAACTTAAAACTGGCAACACTGCATCTTCCAGAAATTTTTTTAGAAAGAAAACAGTAAAAGGGACTCAAGCGTACTTCAGATTTAGAGTATAGAAGTTATATTTGTTTTTATTAACAAGGCAGTCAAGATGTTATGTCACTGAATTATAATCCAGTATTATATTGATTAAAAACTGACAGGCTGTGTGCCCCGTGAGATGTTCACCAGCTTCTACAGTTACGTTCATATTGTTCAGTAAGCAGCTCTGTAACCACATTAAACAAGGAACACTGACTTTAACATATAAACTGCAAACACATGTAGGAAAAAAAAATTACAGAGAGTGCATTTAGTTTTCTCTTCTTTTAATATAACTCAACCTTGTAACACTTTTAACAATATTGCTGTTATTATATTCTCTAGTCTTAAGTACTCTTTTCAGCTCTATACTTAATATCTAAGTTTTTCAAAACCAGTATCTCCTCCAGAGAAAGGTGTCACCTACATTTACAGTACTACATCAGGAATTAAAAATTCTCTAAGCGTGGGTGCATGTACACGCACAAATATCGAGCATATTCACCTCCATATAGATATTCACATACAAAGTCGTCAGCAGAATATCAATAATTCTGTGCATACCTGAGTATTTACTTCAGGTCCACATCAGAAGACATCACAGACCACACGTGGTTTTGCTGTTATTAAACTTATTTTCAAGAATTATTTAAAGCTACTATTAGAAGGGACTTTGCACCATATTTCAAGCAAATTCGTGACTCCAAAATTCAGCATGCCATTTTCCAAACAATCTTTTAACACCACCACTGACTAATCAAATCCAGTACATTCCTACCTTGCTCTGTCCCATTAACACAAACTTTGAGGTTGACGTAGGCACAGGCTGGACCAACAGGCTGACACAAACCACCTCTGACAAGTGTAATTTCTAGTTCTGATCCCTTCAGCTGAAGAAAGAGGAATATTATTATTATTTGAACATTGTCTTATTATACAAACACAGCACCATTAAGATCTGCTCGTCTTATACTAAAGATGACTTACAATAAAACAGCAACTTTTGTCACATCTTCCTCAGAGAAAGAATGTTCCAAATATGAATTTGTCTTTCATATATGTTAAAGATATAGCAGTACTTAACATATAAGAAAACCACAGTGGAATAAACAGCCTAATTTTCACAAGTGATGAGCAGTGATGATAGCCTCCCAAAATATAATCCACAAGTGAATATACTTGAGAGGAACACTCCTCCAGAGGTAATTCGGAGCATCTGCAGACCAGACCCTGCCCTCAGTCACTGAGAAGTATCAGGGGTAGCAGCTGTTTCTATACCAAGTCAGCCTGGATGCACATCTCCCCTTCAGCTATTAGTGAAACAGTTAAAACTTGAAACACTGTCAAGAAATGAAACGTGTACCTTCCTGTGCAAATGAGAGACAGGATGAAGAGACTTGAGAATCTGTAGCAATACTACAGAAACAGACTTTTTTCCTAAAGGCCTTAAACCACAGCTTTAAGACCATGCTTTCTCCAAGCACAGGTATTTTCCTGAACTAGGTACAGGCTGGAATTACTCTGCACCTACCTCAATTTTCATGAGGTTCACACTTTAAAAAGATCTCTTAATAAAAATTTTTCATTAAACAAATATCATCCAGAAACCACTTATATGAACAACTGGTACTAAGTGTCCATTTAAGCCTTTTTTTTCCCTGTAAATTTAGAGACTGTCTTTGGTAACAGTCACAGTCTAAAGTGTGAACAGACCAACTTGGAAGTGCCACTCTTCACTGAGCTCCTGTTACGAAGTAGAGGACAACACTTACAGAGCAGCAAATCTCATTTTGTGTTTATCCATTCCACCAGCAAATAAAAATTAACTTTTCAACTGCTTTTCCACCCCAGTATTTTCTGAGCAACTGCTGATCCTTTTTGATGTCTCTCAAAGCAAGTCTTCAGGAGAGGAGTTCACAATTAAGGCCTTCTATCAAAAATTGATCCAGGATAATTTCACAGAAATAATGATCCTGAATGTAATCAAAATACTTGTAGAAAAGACAGACTTGCATTTCATTTTCTGTCTTGGTCTTCACATATATTCAACATCTTGCAGACTTCTAGTCCTTTTAGCAACCTCCATAAATCTGGTGCAATGATCCAGTGGCAGTTAACTTACGCACTCACGTGAGGAATTACACACTTCATTCTTTTAACTTGCACGTGCTTTCATATCCGAAAGTGCTTTCATATCCGAAAGTGCTTTCATATCCGAAAGTGCTTTCATATCCGAAAGTCACTAAAGCATTTTCCAAGTCAATGCTCTTATCAGCTCCCCCCAACAGAAGTCAGTTGATGCACAATTGCATTTGAATTCACATCTTCAGCCGTTATGCCTGAAACTGCTAGTACAAAATGTAATGCCATTATGAGTAATAGAGACAACTAACCATATAGCCATGTTTGATGCACCAAACTACAGATTCACTGCACGCAGCTGCAGCTATCCTCAACTCTCCCCAAAAGGCCAAACCTCTACACTGAACGGATTTCTAAAGAAGGGCTATTTCATTTCACATATTTTTATTTGCTGCTCTTCATGATAAGCTAGTTGCAGCAGAACTGAATCAAACATCTGCCCTGAGCAATCCATCTCTGCAGTCCCAGGAAGCGAGACTTCCAAGGAAGACTTTACAGTTGCACTAAAATCTCAGTGATCTGTTCTTCTCTGCAACCTCTATTTTAAAGTCTGTGACTAACAATTCAGAGGCACAGCAAGTCTGTAAGCACAGTAACCATCTAAATGTGCAGAAGGCAACCCATGCAGCGAAGGCCACCGATTGACTCTGTAGGGAGGTATTTTGTAGTGACTGAGACTCCTTGAACTAAAATAACAACAAACAACTCTGCATTTACTTACAAAGTTTTTCATTGCCTCCATTTACCATACATAAACGGTATAGCTTCAGTACACAGAACTTGCAGTAACTCCCTGCTAATGGTTTTGTTTGAAAAAAATCCTCCATGCCCAAGATTTTAAGCCAACAGGTAGGCACTCTCAGCTGTATGACCGTTACAAGATTATTACATTTCTGTAAACTTAGTCATTAATGGTAACAGCCACACAGAGCTGTCTGTTGTATACAGTGTTGCGTCAGTCAAAATTTTTTAGGTTTTCCCAGTCTAAAGTCCAACATTTGTGCAAATGCATAGCCTGACCCACAAACCTCCTGCTTCCAGTTTAGCTCATCATTTCCAAAACTGAACAGATGTCTTGTCTGGATATAAGCAAAAACCGAAGTTATCAGTTATACCCATACTAACCAGCACCTTGTCAGGGCAAGATTTCATCCCTACGTAGACAGCATTATTTAGAACTAATCCAATAGAGTAATCTTTCAGCTTTTCCACAACGTTTTTCTTCAACAGAATCTGCTAAATTTAGATTTAGAAAACACAAAAATAATAGAGGGGGCAACCACACTTGCACATGCATGAAAGCTCTCATGAAAAGACCAATCAACATTAAAGGTTATGAAACTCAGCAATTTCAGAGGCAGGCATTCAGACAAGTGTTTCCCAGCACTATACATTTTTTCCATCTGCTTTTACATTTTAATTCAGCTTTGATGTTGCCTTAACATCAAGCTGTCCATCAGCAGTATCCCAAGCAAATAAGGATTTAAAAGAAATAGCAAAACACTTTCACTGATTTCTCAACCCCAATATTCTCCATTTTTATGTAGTGTTTTTCCCTATGTTTGTCACCAGATTAAACTAACAGTTTTGAAAGGCCAAACAGAGCTTTGTTTCAGAGCTGTACAACTTGAGAAGTGTAATTAATAAATATTAAATAATTTCCTTTACACATACTGTTATTAAGATGGAGAAAATATGCACTTTCCTTTCAGCTGTTCTCAGATCCCCAAGCTATTCTGTAAATCAAATTTTAAGTTAGATATATCCTAAGTTCTTGTCTTTCTGGTCTGGCATGATATTTAGATTGAAGAGTACTTCATCCTCAATTCTGCCAGGAATGTCTTTTGAATATAGTAAGTTTGAAAAAAAAAACATGGCAAAAGCACTCTCAAAACATGTCAGAAGAAACAACTAAAGAAACAAAGGAAATAGTTTAAATCTGCTGCTGAAAGAACAAGCAATCTGCGAAACTGCATTGTTACAAAAGACTGAGCTTCAGCAACACAAGGGAGAAAAAAAAAAAAAAAGCACTCTCAAACATTAAGAACTGAAGTTGGTCTTAAACCAAAAGGCAAAATTTAGCCTCAAAGGAGAACGTTTCTAATACAAAAGCATATTAAATTAAAGAAAGCACATCAGCAATAGTTTTGCTGTTTAAACACTGCACTAATCCCAGTACAAATAACTATGTGCATTATACTTACACAAACACCTGCCTAAGATATTTATTTTGGTACCCAAGCAGCTTCATTTTCAAAATTACTACACATACAGAACTCAACTATTTGGGTTTTTTAAAACCAAAACCACTAATATGGAAATTTATAAATATGAAACAACATCTACTATATACCATAAATATTGACATACAATTTTTCTGTAACTGAAGCGCTTTGTTCGGTTAAAGGCAGATAACACAATTAACGAGGCAGTCAATGCTTTTTCCTTCTTACTTGGGTTGTTTCCTGGATGAGAACTTCTTGTGAGGTAGGCACCGGGTAAGGCTTCAGGGCAACCTTTATTGTTGCAAAAATGAAATCCATATGTTCCTTAATAACAGTATCCAGGTAGTCACCTTCTGGATGTGATCTGTAGTACACTGTAATCTCATCTGTAGGAACCAGATTTCGCTGTAGAATACACCAAATATACTGTTAGTGACAGCAAGATGACTTTTACACATACAAACTAAAAGAACAATACCTGCTAAGTTAAAGAAAAACATATTTTAGAAAGATAGTTTCCAGACATCTGTTAAAAATTTCCACAAAAGATTTTGAATAAAAAAATTATTTTGTCAGAAGGGCAAGAAAGAGGCTTGAAACATGGTGAGTTTTTCTTCAAAAGATAATGACCCTACTCAAAAGGACTCCATTCCAAATTCATTTACCAACTCACCCCCTTAGTGAGCTGAAAGCCTACCAAATTCATTAAAAAGCTTTTCCTAATGCATGAGAATTGTACTAGCATTTACATGTCCTCTTAGCCTGAAGGTAAACCCTTGGCTCTTTATTGAACAATTGCTCGATCAGTGACATTTTCTTAACACCGAACAGCCTCCAAGACACTCTGGTACTGTTTTGGAAGGTGGTGAGCAGACTTAAGTTTTCACACTAGCTCTGTCCCATCTCGCATACTAACATATACTTCAGGAAAAGAGCAATTAATTTGAATGGATGCGTATTAGAGCAAAACTCTGCTTCAGTAAGAAAACGGTTTCAAGGAAAAAAATAGCAGCACCAAGACAACTTTAGTTCTAAAATCTATTAAAAATAATGACTGCCCTAATACCAGTCATAGTTACTGTGGATCTGGAAAGTGTGTTTTTTATTACATGTACAGTTTTGTTAACAGGAGTGGGAATGAATGCATGTTAGCATCACGTTAATTATTAGGCAAGATTAAGTAATTTGATATTCATTTAAGTGATAATAAGTTATGGTCTTATGTCATTGGAGAAGTAAATTTAAATCATCCAGTAACTTATGAGCATTTTCTTTTCATGGCCACATTCCTTCCTGTTTTATTTTATACAGTAATAAACCTACATAGGTTTTATATATACATAAATATATATTTTTTTTAATTAAAAAACCCCCTATTTTGGTAAAACTTTGTCATTTTTCAGGCTTGTACTGAAGATCCATGCAGTCTCAACTGTACAGGTATCTTTTTCCAAAAACATGCCCCATGAAAATTTTCTCCACACAACACTTAGAGCTCTTGCAAGATTTCTTCAGGCATAAGTCTGAAAGAGATACAAATTCCAACACATGGCCACCAAGTCAGTAGAGTAGGAAAACCCTACATGTATCATAGAACACCACATTCCACATCTGCAATGGAACTTTTTTTAAACTTGCAGGTTCAGAAACATTTAGAATTCTTTGTACCATGTTAAATATTACTTAATGGCCTCTCCAGAGGAAAGGCTTTTTAGACTCGTCATCACCTCCACAGTGACCATGCTGTCTTGGCACAAAATGGAGATAGTGAGTGTAGCTCTTTCAGGATTAGCATTGTAGAAAGAAGGAAGTTTTGTTGCTTCAAAGTGCTTTAACATCAAGGTCAGACAGCAGCATTGGTATGTACGATGAGAACAATTCAGCAGAATCTTTAATGCAGGTATACAAATCGGTGCCAGAAATGCCTCCTGCAATCTGCTAAGACACAAGATTGTTTCTTTGAGCAGCCCTAGGCTCAGATGTCTTGGCTCTCACCAGCCCAGCTGACGTAACACACTGGAACCAAGAGTGAACAGAATGCAATTCTTGGCAGGAGGCAGGCATGCCCAAGAGCTGCTTAACTGGGACTGAACCACTGCTGTGCAGCTGAAGATACAAACCAATAGGGGCTCAGTAAAATAAAGACATTAGTTAATTCACTACGGATGATGCATAGCAAGCTCATTTTTCAACTTGAGCTACTTAGTAATCATTTGTGTCACATATAGCTTTCTGAGTGGACATAAATGATACAGGACTTCATGTTTAATTGAAAAGGTCAGTTTCAGCTGCATATTGCCCCAAGATTGCTTAGAAGTACATTAAAACATTTCATCCCAAACAATTGCTTCCTAACCTTTTTGCGAAGCTTCTGGATGCGATTAATCACTTCCCGGGCAACTCCTTCATCCACCATGGACTGGTCTGGGGTAACATCTAGCAGAACTAAAACCTGAGGTAACGCACAGAAGACAGTTGAGTGACAGGTGACAAACTTGAAACAGGCTAGTATTAACTCACTCAGAAACCCAGGGACATTTTTATAGAGCTCTTCACTTACAAAATACCACATTGCACGGAGTATTTCAACATCTCCAAAACTCAGAAGATAGTTCAACAAACTCCAGGAGCCTATCTGAACAAACAAAACCACCCTAGCTTTCACCTCACCATTTTCATATTACTTCTAAAGTAACTCTTCCCCTAATCAAAAAAAAACAACTAGTAAAATACCTGAGCATCGGAATGTGCCTCAAACTGGGAAGATTCTCCTGCAACCTGATCAAAAGTATACATGAGACGAAGATCTTCCTCATGGAGTTCATGTCCTTCTACAACAATGGTGCCTGCAGAATTGGCAGATGAAGAGCATCTCTTACCACCAGAGTAAAAAAAATTTTTTTAAAGTCAAAAAGCTTTAAACAAGTATCACACTTCAAACACACAAACTGCAGTATATTTCCAACACAGGTAAACAGCAGTCAAGCACCAGTAAGAAACACTGAACTACCCCACATGCAGATTTTTCATACAAACACTTCTACAGACAGCAGAACTCACTCAAATGCAGACGCTTCAGCAACTGTGCACCATTCAAATGAAACAGAATGAAACTTAAAAATAACCTGCATACTCAACTAAATCAAAATTTGCATTTAAGCACTTAACTAAACAGAGCTGGAAAACTCACACCCACTTGTAATCTGGAATTGAATAAAAACTATTGCACACACACTCAGTTCAAATCTGATTCAGTCTTACAGACCAGCTTACTCTCTACTTCATTTTGGCCTTACAATAGCACTTAAACAGGAGAACAGTGTAAGTAAAATAATATAAAAGGCCACTTCTCATCTCCTATCAGCAAAATAATAAAAACAACTTTTCTCTTCATTAACATAAATTTTAATAGGGATAACAACAGGGAAGTAGGACTTAAGTTTCCTTAAGCCCACAGTGGGATACTTTGCATCTGTTCTTGCAAATGCTTGATTTATACACACAAATCAAGTGCAACTGCTTGATATTTTTTTCTGATGAGCCAAAGGATTTTGGATCTTTTTCTGGTCAACTTTGCCATCATTTAGTGCTTTGTACCACTAAGTACCTGTCTCCTGGAATTCCTCCAGCTGCTCACTCTTCAGCTCTTTAATTGCACCCATTACAAGCTTAAATGCACCTTTCAAACGCTTCCCAAGCACCATGTGATCTGGTTCTGCTCTCAGCCGGACTCCATATTTATCTTTATTAGTAGATAGCGTCACTTGACGTACATTAAGTTCCTATATAAATACACCAAGAGAAATAGAAATGAAGCTAAAGAACAGCCATCTCTGACAGCTGTGGAAAGGGTACAAAACCAGGGCCACAGTACTAGGGGAGTCTCAAGCTGCAATTTTTTTATATGGTTGTCTCTATGAATTAAGTAATTTGCCAACGCTGCAAGAGCAAATAAGCCCAACCAATACGGAAACTATCCTTCAGCAGAAGATCCTAACCTCCTCTTCAGCCTTTAGGTAGACTTTAATGTTACTAATAGACATCAGTCAGTGCTCGACTCAAATCAGATCCCTATTCAACAGCCTCTTTTATTTTACCATTACAACTGCCTGAAGAGATAAAACTATCACTTTTGTTCACAATGACAAGAAAATGGCCTGGCAAAATTCAGGAAGAAAAGTGTTGCTGAAATAGTCCTTTCAGTATGCTTTTAGCCAGAAAACTGTAACTGACAATTTCACGTTTAAGGTTGTACAAATGCTACTGCCTCGATTCGTCTCTTTCCTTATTTGTTTATTCTTGGTCCTTACTGTACAGAACATCACCTTGCTCATAAAAACCTTCTGTCTGTGCTCTGCAGCCCAAGGTCAGCGTGCCAGAGCAGCCAAAAAACCTTGTAAAACTTGCATGAATTTCAGGAGGGGCCCCAGACCAAGGATGTTATTTTGCCACTACAGAAACTTGGGCGTGTCCATGTTTTGTAAGTAACGCATCCAGATTTTGTCCCCATATCTGAAGGGGAATGTAGGGGTGCTGTGTCAAGTTTTACAGAATAACTGATTAAGAGGACAGTGTTGCTACCATATGAGGAAAGACCAAGGGTAGAACTCTTTGGAGGGAAGAATGCTGAAGGAGGACACGATTGAGGTTTAAAAAAAAATATGAAGGAGGCAGGTAAGGAATGTAAAACTTATTCACCAAATCCCCAAACAACCCCTCAAGTAAGGGAGCATACAATGGAAACGGTAGGAGATTGGTTTAAAAGAGATATGCAAGTAGTTAACCCTTGGAACTTAATGCCACAAGAGGAGGAAAGCAGGAGTGTACATCCAAGTTCAAAAAGGAATTGAGCTCCTAACAGTAGATGCATTAAAAGATGTTAAGAGGAACAAGCAAGCATGTGCCTCGAGTATCTTTAATACAACAGCTGCAGATGGTGACTACAATAGGAGCCAGTGCAACAAGTGGCCAGACACTTGTGCTTTCTCTACATGGCCTCTACTATTGCAGCAGACAGCACCACGTGCTAGATGAGCCACAAGTCTAACCCTCCAAGTAATTTCTTACATTCTTAATTACAAATATTTTCCTCATCACGTAAGCATAATAAAAAACACCATTAAAAAAAACTCCACAAACCTTCTACACACCCAGGCCATGACACAATGCCAAATTTGCAATTACACAGCAAACCTCTCCCCTCTGCAGTCAATTCTGTCCAATGAACAAAATGCATCACATACACTATTAATAGCACCAAGAAATAACATCTTGCTATACCTCCTGAAAATAAGAGCACTGTATCCCAGTGTTATTTTGTGCCTCCAGAAAAGCCTGTTTTTTCCCCGCTTTGTAAAGCCAAGGAAGAAACACACATGAGGCAGAACTTGATACCTAAATTTGAAGTTTCTTGAAGTCTCACTCTCTATTCTTGGTATATTGTACCAGGGACAGATCTTGGACAGTTTTAATTGTCAACATGCAACTCTTCTACAGGTACAAACCCGCACATACCTGGAGCACATTTCACTGTAATTTGGCAGGCTTTGTCTGTCAGGCTGCCCAATACTTGAAGTATTTGGTGTTCAAATCTCCACTAGAAGGTGGTTAGAGTTCAAATCAATGTAATCCAGAATAACCAAGTGCATTTGTCAAGCAAGTTACTCCACGTCATTTAGGAAGCAGAAGTAGTAAATGGTAGCGTCAGCATGACAGGACTAGCAAGTAGCCCAACATTTGGACTGAGAAATAATGCTTAAATAGAACCTCTGAGCCAAGTCTAATTCCCTAGGAAGTCCTACTGACATGAGGAGCCAAGAATACAACGTAATCTAATTTTATTTAATACATCTTTTAGTAAATCTAATGAAAATTACATCATTTTCAGAAATTCAGTTTTAATGGGGAGCTAAGCTGTTGGAAATAAGCCTACAAGTGGTAAATGACAACCTGTGGGGAAAAAGAAATAATAATCAAAAAACCAGCACAAACTGAAAGATGACTTTGGGCCTGATGAGATAAATTATATACAAGCCAAGTCCATCAGGACAAATTTTCTGTACTAATTAGATCAGGAAACCATTCTTCTGTGTACCTTATCAATTTGTAGTGATAGGACGAGGGGTAATGGTTTTAAGCTAGAAAAGGGCAGACTTAGGTTGGACATTAGGAAAAAGCTCTTTAATATGAGGGTAGTGGATCACTGGAACAGGTTGCCCAGAGAGGTAGTGGAAGCCCCACCCCTGGAGACATGCACAGTCAGGCTCTGAACAACCTGACCTGGTTAGAGATGTCCCTGCTCATTGTGGGGGGCTCGACCAAATGACCTTTAGAGGTCCCTTCCAACCCAACAAATTCTACGATTCTATGAATTAAGAAACTAGAGTGACTCTTCAAAAAAAAAAAAAAAATCAACAATCTGTATCTTAGGTCTGTTTATATCTGCCTCAATGTAGTGCTTTGACTTAAACTAGTTCTTAATTTTATCTTCCCAATAAATCAAAATTAGCTCCTTAACACCTTTCAAATCTCACACACACAAACTGAGGCAACCAGTCCTTCCCATCGCCAGTCAGGCATTCCTATGTACAAGGGCCTTTCCTTGGTGCCACGTGGCAGACACGATCAGCTCGACCGGTAACACAACTACGCCCGATTCTCAGAACAGAAGAGAAAGTACTGTGCTTCAGCTGGGCTGGGCTCTCTATGTGAACAGCCCAAAAAGGAAAATAAATGTTGTTTATGTAATACTGTGAGAAACAAAACACTGAAGGACCACATGCTGCCACAGTTCGAGTCAGTTAATTCAGCCCATTCATGGACTCAGTCTCCAAATGAAATTTCTGAAGAATTGATAAGTATGTTTTTCAAATTCTTTTGTCAGCAACTTCATGAAATTAAATGGTGTAATTTTTCTTACAGATTACCTCTGGCACCTGCAAATTTACTAGAAACACCCTTCTGGCAATAACTAAAGGTTCTAAAGCTGTGAATATGTAGGAGGCTGATAAACAAAGCTGCAAATACAGCCCAAATAATATTACCCAGTCTGACTATATTCATCAACCTCTTTAGCTCTGAAGCATCTTAGTAAACAACTAGATTGATTGCTGTGCAATACAGTAAAACATATACTAAGCTTCAGCTTGTTGAATTTTAAGACACGTAATAAAAATAGGACAATAGACAGTATTGTGTATTTGTGCTTTCACAAAGGTATTTGAGTTTCTTAACTCATCTCCCTATAAGACATACCTTAACTTTGTTTGCAGGAGCAAATAAATTAAAACACACTTTTGTACAATCCAATTATGTTATAAATTATCAAGTTTATGTTCCTTTGTTACCTTTCACTAGCTGTAGAAGCTGACAGCAAATTTTGTTAGCTACCTTTTTGGAAGTAATTTGAGTACGCAAACCTCATCTCCCTTAAAACTGGATTCTGCAAAATCCACAAATCCAGTTTTCAGATCAAGAAAATGTCATAGACATGAACCTAAATTTCACAACAACATCCTGCTACTAAAAAGATCCAGGTATTTAAATGATTAATAATAATAATAGCAATTCTGAAGCGAAGCATCCTAACTGCCAGGTCTAAGAGAAATAATCAATAAGATAATGTGAGTGACAGCAAAGCCTTACAATCCCACTTGCAAATCCATTAAGATTTTTAATTAAAATTCCCTTAGTGCACAATTCTTAAGAATTGAAGGCCCACAGTAACTAAAAGCACGAAGCACACAACACTGACCTAGAAGTCTTGTGCATTGAGCCATGACTCCCCTAGCCAGTGCTCTTAAGCTGACCCCAGCAGAATTTTTAGAAACCTTCCTTAGATGTGTATTTAGGCTCATGGAAAGATGGTATTGCTGGAGTAATATGTAATTAGAAGTTCAAGAGGTCCTCCGCTTCAGTCATCTCTTGAATTCTTTGACTGACATGGTTGCCCTCATCAAGACCAGCACAGTGAGTTGATCTGGCTTGGGTAAACACAGTTTTTTGTTCTCTCTGTCAAGCCAAAGCAGCTGATCTTGACAATGACTACTCGACCTGAAAAAGTCCCAACTAATTTTAAGCATGTGACTAGATCTTCTGTTACAAAACCCTCTGAAGATACCTTATTGAAGGGAGGTCATGAACATACATAACCTGATCTAGAAGGTGACAGATTCTGACAAATGAAAGATGACAGAAAGGTTAAAGGTCAATTGTTAGTAGAAATGCATTTTATTTTATTTCATAATCCAGAGACTATTAATCAGAAACACAAACTAAAGACATATTGCTGAACCCACCAGTCCTATATTATACCAGCTCTGAAGAAGCACAGAGGGCCTAAGGTGATCCCACATGGAAAGAATTTCCTGAAGAGGGAAGTGAGACAGTAAGTTCCTCTGCAGTGCCAGAGTCACAGCGTCAGTGCTGTGGCTGGAGCTGAAGGATAGCAACCACTCCGATCTGCTGAGTGTCTCTACATTTCCCACCTGATTACTGTCCTTGGACACATAGAAGCCATACACTAATATAACAGTAGGTGGGAAGTACCTGGAGGTAAAATAGGACAAAGAATTAAGTTGTAACAGTAACTGGTTTTAGTATTTGTGTTACAAGCACTTAAAATACAGGAAAAGGGCCAACTTCAGAGGTTAATGAAAAGTACACTCTGTGGCACACCTCTCCAGATGTGAGGGAAGGGAAGGAAGTCTTTCATCAACTGTTCAGACACACAACTACATTGGTGTTCAAATTTTTTTTTCTCTTCTAGTTTTTGCTCATTTAAACAGAGATTGTTTCAAACAAGTAGATTGGAGAGGGCAAGACATGAGAAGGCTAAGTTTGCAGTTCACAGGCATTCAGAAGTAGTAAGACTTCTACATGAACTCTCTTGTAACAGTTAAGGAAGTCGGTATTTTGGGGGTTGTTAGTTTTTGTATTACATTGTACTTAACTTCTCTAACAAAGGCCTTGCACTGATGCTAGTATCCTTTCCTCAGAAATGCTGTTATCAGGTCTTGAATGGGGAAGATTGTCTGAACAACCACCCAGATGATTTTGTTTCATAAGACTACTCCTTCAGTTCTCATCTGAGAGAAAATGTGGCGTGCATTCTGCCTCACAGTATTAAGAGCCACACACGAATACAAGATTGCATACGGGAAGGATTCAAGTGAAAATCCAGACACATTAAGACACAGAAGTTATCATCATGAAGTAATTCCCAATTTATATTCACATCTAATACATGCATTCTGCCAAACATCAACAGCAAATCAGTTCCCTTAGAATCTGCTTTCTTAGCAGAGCACTGCAATTCAAAACGCATATTTTTCCTCCCCAAAACACATACAGTTACAAAGATGAAGCCACTGCTTATCTCCCCAAGGAACACAGTGAAACATCTGGGTGAAAAGTGACCATCTATCTCAAGAAGACACTACTGCAGCAAGAGGAAATTAAGACTTTGCAGAAAGAACAGCATTGCTTAACCAGTTTTCCTTCTTCCCTCACTGCCTCCCAGAGTGGTTTTGAAAGGCCGCCAGTCTTGCAGTGGAGATGGTATTACCTCTAACTCCCTGTTCAGCGAAGCAATTATAAAGCCCCATGGCTGTTAACACTGAGAAATTACACATAGCATAGCTCATGATATCAAATGCATTATCATGACAAATTTAAGTACTAAGAACCACTGGTTTGCAAGATGTTTTGAAGGCCCCAACACCTAGAAAAAGTTCAAAGGCATTCTGGCATAGTATTCCCTTGCCTTTTCTTTTTGAATAAAAACATCATGGCTCAAAAATCACTGTAGCTGAAATACTTTTCCTTCTCACTATTCCCTCTTACTGTTTGATTTCTCTTGTACATTATAGATGCAAAAAGTCTATTTGTAACAAAGTTTAACTGAACATAAAGACTAAAAAGAGCCTACTCTACAAACAGTCTTTTAAGCAATCAAAAAGTAACAGGCTTTGTGCCTCCACCTCACTTCTGAAACACAGTACTGAAGTTTAAAAGATTTATTTATAGTACAAACATATAAATAAATTAAGTTTATTTATAAACAGACTTTTTAAATTCACTTCTTAAAATACTATGGATTTTTGCATGACTGGCTAAAAGCAGAAAGTGCAGCCAATTTCAGGAAGTTAAGCTCAAAAAGCCAAGATGGGTTACTTTCTTTTGAATGACAGGGCTTTCATCCAAACAAAGATTTACAAGTAGGGCAAGCTGCACTTCTCTAACGGACACACACTAAAGGAGTATTGCAGTGGCATACAGGAGCAGATGAGTGTAAGAAATTGTACAGACTAACATCTTACTTCGTTTGACATTTTATTTCCTAAACAACATCCTCCAAAAATCTTGACTGGTCCCCTGTTCTCCCTTACATGGAACTCCTCCTCTCCATCAACTCTTTAACTTACTGTCAAACTGTTTTTAATGCCCTTTAAATTTTGCAATCCATCTCTTTGACAACACATAGTTGACTATTGTCTTATTTTCATTCAGAAAATGTTTTTTCCTTTCACTGATGAAGAAAAAGAGTTTTTCTAACAGGCTCTTAGTCCTACGTGGTCAGTTTGAGCAATTAAGTATTTCTCAATACTACGCCTGACTAAGGATCATCACCCATTTACCTTCATTTCTGTACACAGTACCCATTGATAGCCCCTTTCATTATAACTCTCATTTAAATTAATTTTACCTGATCAGTTCTTAATACTGTCAACAGGGAAGGTTGGGGTTTTGTTTAGGTAACCGGCATACACAGCCCACTGAAGCATCATCATGTTCATGATGTTCTTACCTCGAGTATGTACTTCTCCAAAGATCTGATGTTTTCCAGAGCCTCTGGATCCCGATGGATAATGACTACTTCTTTCAAAGGATACTGGGGAGAAGGGAAAACAAAAACAAAACCCAGAAACTTTTATCCTTCCAACTGAAAATAAAGAACTTCAGAAATTATTATTGAAGTATTTTATTGTTGAACTCCATTTGCTATTCCAAACTTAATTATTCAATTTTCCCAGGCTTGTCCCAAAGTTACAAAGCTATCAGACATTCCCAAGGTATTGATGAGAGATATTAAAAGTTCTAACCTTTACAGGAATGGTTTTTCTGTCTCTGATTACACGTCCAAGCTCAATAACAGACTGCAAACAAGAAACGGCACTTTCAATTTTTTTGTCGATGAGATCCTCCCTAGATTAAAAAGGAAACATTATATTTTGCTTCATTTTCATTATATCTGAGCAGATCAGAAACATTTTGCCCCCTTCCCTGAAATTTCCTACAAGAAATTCAATTATGCCCTGTTTGGGGCAATTTGAAAAATGAAAAAACAAGTTTTTCTTCTCCCTTTGTGGAGAAGAAGATATAAATTGCTGATTATAAAAAAAAACTGAGCTATTTTTAAATCATCTTTTGTTAGCACCCCTCACAAGATGGAGATGATGGATTGATTCATACTACCTATTGTATTAATATCAAATAAAAAGATATACATTATTAACATCATAAGAAGATGCAAAAAGGTAGTATAAATAGGATACTTATAATGACAATGAAACACCTATAATGCAAACAGCTCACTGGATCTCAATTTATAACCTTTTCCAGAAATCCTAGATATTTTAGCTTGAAGTTTTAGACAGTCTTGTCATCTTTCCTGGCTTCATTATTTTAACACCCTTCCATTTCGAGGCAAAGCAGGATTGGGAGATTTTTTTGCCTTTGAGGCGGGG